CATTGCTAATATTATCATTATTATAATAATTGTTCTTACTATCATTGTCATTACTATCGTTATCAATATTATTTTTTATTAGTATTTTTATCATTATTATCTTTGTTGTTGCTGTTGCTATTGTTATCTTTGTTATCGTTATTACCGTCATTATTATCATTATTGTCATCATTATCATTATCAGAATGGAGGTGATTATGGTAATGATGATGTTAATGATAAAAATAATGATAATGATAATGATAGTGACACTGATAATGATAATGATTATTATTATTAACATCATCATCACCATTATCTTTATCATCATTATCGTTAATGGTGGCTGAAGTGGAATCGTCCCTGATGCATTGCCTTAAAAGATAGGGTTAAAGAAGATGTTATAAGAGTTATAAGCCTATTACTGTTTTCTATTCGGATAGATCCTCTAAAAGTTAAATTACGTGATAGTGGGTTGGGGTACCACAGGGAGGACATCTGTTCTAATGGGTCTGCTTAGGCTGATGACGTTTTTAACAATATGTTCTGCCAAGAGGAAATTAATACAGATGTGTGAAGACTACGCTATAGCTTGAGATTCAACCCTAGCAATTACACGCTAATTGTGACTGTTGAGTTGTGACTGAGATGTTGGTATTGTCATTAAAAAAGGATCTTGGGTATTTCATGTCTGCCTTGTTGATATTACCCCCATAATAACATATACGAAACTGAGAGCTAATGCAGCCATTAATATATATATATTTTTTTATGCTCCCAGTCGGCAGCCGGATGTGTTGCTATTTAACAATCAGTGCCTGTCAGTGTATGGCTGCAAAGTATTGAATCTTGATAACCCTATGATTGATGAGTTGAGTACAACCTGGAGAGTCTGTTGTTGTAAATTCTCAGGTCTTCCTCCTCGTACACATCCAGTTTTTGCCCAGTGTCATGAATTCGAAACATCACTGAAGATTTTATTTCATTATGGGTTTAACGCATCCGGAAGAGCAAATTGACAATATTTCCAGAAACACATTCTTCGTCATACATGCTAGCACATCCTAATTCCATTTTTAAGTGAATCATTTTGGTAACAAGTATCACAATTTTTATCAGACTAAAAATAAAAGTTAAAAACCCAAATGTATATGTCAAACAAACCCCAAACTTTGGCAAGCAAATATAATAAAATAATAACTGAGTGTAAAGAATGATCAGCTACACCGTAAGATGTTTATTATTAATACATAATTCTGTATTTCATATAATGAGCTATTTTTTATTTTGTAGCATATATTCTATTCACTGTAACTCTATATCCTTTTTGTCTGTGTGTAGGTATTTTTTTTTTTTTTTTTGTGTACGAATAAAGATTTTATCATTATCATTATTATCATTGTTATTATCATTAGTATTATTATCATTATCACCATAATCAATATTACAACCATCACTATTATTATTGATGTTGATATTAACATTATTTCAAATCTGTTATTGTTATCATTCTAATTTTAATTGTTATTATTATTGTTCTTAATATTTTCATTGCTATTGCTATTATTGTTATTATTATTACCATTAATATTTTTTGTTGTAATTATTTCTGCTGTTATTATGATTACTACTATTGATAGCAGTAATCATAATAAAGAGCAGCAGTAGTAGTAGAAATAGTAATAGTAGTAGCATTTGCATTAGTATTTGTAACAAATATTATTATTATTATCATCATTGGTTATTGGTATCATTATCTATATCATTATCATTATTATTATCATTATTATTATTATTTTAATGATGAAGATGATTATTGTTATTGTTATTATTATTATTATTATCATTATTATTATTATTTTAATGATGAAGATGATTATTGTTATTGTTATTATTATTATTATTATCATTATTATTATTATTATCATTATTATCATTATTATTATTATTATTATTATTATTATTATTATTATTATTATTATTATTATCATTATTATTATTATAGTTATTATCATTATTATCATTATTATTATTATTATTATTATTATTATTATTATTATTATCATTATTACTATTATTATTATGATTATCATTATTATTATTATCATTATTAATAATATAATTAGCATTATTATTATTATTATTATTATTATTAGCATTATTATTGTTGTTGTTTTGATGTTGTTATGATTATTATTTTGATTATTATTATAATTATGAATATTATTATCATTATTATCACTATCATTATTTTTGTTATCATTACTGTTGTTATACTGGAATCCTTAGATATTGCTTATAAACAACGATTAAGCATTGTATAATTCTATGTATATATGTGTCTATGTATAATAAATATATATACCTAATTAGTATTTTTCATTTTTTTAATTTTTTGGTTTCTTTGATGATATTTTTTATTTACTCCTTGTAACCTTAACCCGGAAATTTTGTCTGTTTTCTAACATAATCTAGACTTGCACTTATGGCACACCTGATAAAAATATAAATTATATAATGCTTATCTGATCCCCCCCCCCCCACCGATTCAGAGAAAATGTATGGAAAACGAAGATCAGAAAACTTTGTGAAAGTAAAGATCACATGAGCAGTGTTCATTATAGCATGTGATTTAAAGGTACGAATCAGAATGAATGACTTCGCAATGCAGATTTTTTTTCTTTTTTTTTTCGTTTTCGGTGATATGCATTTCTTACGAAGATATTTTCGAAATCTGAACCTAACAGAAGTGCTTATTACGCAAGCCAATTCAATTATTACAGATATTACTTACTATTACTACTCTATCTAGTATCATTATGATTATTGTTATTATTATCATTATTAATTGTATCTTTGTTATTATTATTATTATTGTTATTATTATTGTTATTATTATTATTGCTATTATTATTATTATTATTATTATTATTATTATTATTATTATTATTATTGTTATATAATTACTTATGTTATTTTCATTATCATTAGAATTATTATTATCATTATCATTACCAATATCATTATTTTCATCATAATCATCATCATTACT